GAAAAAAAAAAAGGGAGAAAAAAAAAAAAGGGGAAAAAAAAAAAGGGAGAAAAAAAAAAGGGAGAAAAAAAAAGAAACCTCTCCTCGCTACTTTCCGCAGTGTTTCTGGGGTGAATGTAAAGGCTGAAGTCACAGCCACCCCCCCTGCACCCACACAGGGAGGTTTTCGGATGAGAGGGCCCATCTCCACAGCATCTCCGTGTCCCCAGGGGCACCTGGGGGGTTTCCCCTCCCTCCCAAGGCCAAGCCCCGCTTTTCCCCCAGGGCTGAGAATTAAAAGTCTCTCTCTCTCGGCCAGACCGAAGCAGTTTGGGTGCTCGGGGCACCTCCAGGGCTGCCGGGGCAGTGGGGCAAGAAGCCATCTCCAGACGCCGCCGGTCCCGGAGCACATCCCGGTCCTTCTCCCGCCTCCTTCCAGAAACCAGCAATTTTCGCTTCACCTCCCAGCCTGGGGGGGGATCAGCAGGGTTTAGCCCCCCGTGACCCCCCAGCCGGGGACGGGCTCCCCCGGGGGGTTTGGGGCTGGGGAGGGGACCCGGCCATCCCCGGCTCAGCACAAGGCACCGGTGTGAGCCCCCAGCCCCATCCCCGAGCCCCCTCCTGCAGAGAGAGGCTCGGTCTCACCCGGGCCGGGCACAGGAGCTGTGAATTATTAAAGTGGAAACCCTGGATGCTGAGAAGAGCTGTGCCGGGTGTCACCGAGCGAGTTACACCAGCGAGGAGAGAGGGGGAGGGAGTAACACCCCTATTCTTAAATCTTACATTTCACCGGGTCATATTGTTTGGTTTTGGGGTTTCGTTTGTTTGTGTTTTGTTTTGTTTCTTGGTCTGTTTTAAAAAAAAAAGTTGGAAAGACCCCTCTTCTAATTTGTTCACCCTCTCACCTGCCCCAAATTATCATCAGCAAAGGCAAACCAGCCCCACAGGCAGGGGGTGAGTTCAGGCAACAGCCCAAAGCGATGTCAACGGGCGATTTGGGGCTAAAGGGGAAAAAATCCCCCATCCCGAGGGCTCCCCACAACAGGGCACCACGCTCTGGCGGGGTTTTTCCTTCCCCTCCCCAAGGCTGGTTTCCAGAGTCTGCTTTCATTTAACCGAGGGAGAAAATTGGGAAGGATAAAAAAAAAAAAAAAAAAAAAAAAAGCAAATCCAGCAGAGGTTTGTGCAGCAGCCGCCGAGGCTGAGCCCCGTCCCGGGGGGGCTGCAGGCTGTGCCCGGGGCCCGAGGGGACCTTCCCGACTCCCGGTGTCCCCGGCCGGCACCGTGCTCCTCGGGCCCTATTTATCCGTCTCCATCTAAACAGGGACCCCCCCACCCCGGGGGCACTGCTGGCACTGCTGTGGCCCCCCCGGGTTTTGGGGGCTCAGCATCGGGACACGCAGGGGCTTTCCCCACCAGGGACCCCCCCCCCGCTACCGGCAGCTCTGGCAGATGCCCCCCAACACGGTGCGACCCCACAACCGCGCCGGGAAGTGCTGTGCCGAGGCCGGACCCTCCCCGCTTGGGCTGATTTTCACCCCCCCAAAACAAAGCGGATCGGGGCGCGGGGGCCCCCGTTACCTTCAGGGTGAGGTCGGGGCGCAGCGGGGTCCAGCGGACGC